TAATTTTATTGGTGATTATTACTAAATAAGGTGTGATCATCGATATCCAAATTTGGTATATTCCTAGACTGTATTGAAAAAATTATATACCATCTTTCTGATGCAGATTATCCTACATTTAGCATGATCCACCCATATATAGAAATACTCAAACAATCCTTTGCACCTCAGCTAGATCAAGAAGAAACAAAAAGATCATATCTTGATTTAATCTATAGTAATTTATCTGATGAGAATAGTACTAATAATAGTTCAAGTTCAATTAGTAATGATGATAATATATTTCATGGTGGAGTTTGCCGACATTGACAATATGCTTATAGGCAATTTTACCAATATATAAAAAGAAGAAAATGTAAAAAACAAACTGAAGTAAAAAGAAAATATTTCAAAAAAAATAAAAAAATAACTAATATTGTTAATAGCATTGAAAATTTACCTCTTATTGATTCTAATAGTTTGTTATTAAGAATTTGTGCAGCTATCTATTTATCTTTAAATGAGCTTTGGGATATATCTTCAGATTTGGCTTTGGTCGCATCTATACTTGATCCATGGTTTAAAACTTTTCAATAGGCACCAAATCAATTAGATCATGCCAAAAAATTACTTGAGCAATCTTATACTGAAATGAAAATAGCTTTTGAATTATTAAATTTAAATAATCATTTAGGTGAATCAGCAAACAATTCAACCTATAATAATAATAATAACAATAATGATTTTTTTAGTCAATTAAAGACTACACCCCATCAAGCATTAAAACTAATTGAATTGGATGAAGTAATATATTATTTGGCTTTAGATAGTATTGGACTTGATGAAGATCCAATCAAATGGTGGCAGTCAAATAAAGTCAGATTTCCAATCTTAGCACAACTTGCAAAAAAATATCTTTCAATTCCAGCATCTTCCGTTCTATCTGAAAGATTATTTTCAGATATTGACAATCATATTACATTTAAATGAATACGGTTAGCACCTGAATTAGTAAATAAATTCTTATTCTTAAAAAGAAATAGCAAGTACATTGAAATATTTTTGCCGTAATGGTCTGTTTAAAAAATTACATGTATACTATACATATGCTTATCAAAATATGCAAATAAAATGTATTTTGCTTGTTATGAAATATATATTAGTATGTATAATACTTTTTGCTTAATAAAATATTGTATAGGCTGTGTATATAGATATGTAAATTTATTAAAAAATTTATATATTACAATTTATATATTGTATACAATTTAGTTGATATCATTTTCCAGCTAACTTATACACTTTAAATACTTTTCGAAAATTATAAACAGCATTTCTAATTTTATAAAAATACATGCTAAATTTAAAACTAATCTATTTAATCTTATATATATTTACATAAGTTAGTTAAGATACAATATTCTGAAAAAGGTAAAAAAAAAATTTTATTTAAATTTAAACATGCGCAAAAACAAATAGCCATCGATTATGAATTTGAATTATGTTGTTTGATTGGTAATAATTACATATAAAACAACAAATCGGTCTCAGTATATAAACATATAAACCCGATTATAATTTGGTTTAAACTTCACCCGATTTGGATTTGAATAGCAACCGATTTTAAGTTACACAAAATCAATTCGGTTTTAAAATTTGCAACCGGTTTGCACCTCTATTCCTGAATTCGCATTCGTGGCCCTGAATTCAATCTTGTGACAGAAAATCGATATATTCGTTTCTCAGATTCCTTACGAATGATTGTAGGAATTGTTGTAAAAGTATAAAACTAACCCGGAATTATTGTCAAATTCCCCTGATATTTGCCTTGACATAGTGTGGATTGTGGAGTTGTAGATTAGTAGTCTCAATGTAGTGTAGACTATCCTGGAGATACGATACGTCACACACCAAACCTATTCAAAGTAATGTGGTAGATAGTGATAATCTAATGATATTGTGGAATAAGCCAATCTCCAAACTCCCTCGAATTTCTTTCAATGTCAATTCATTTTCTATTAGGTTATTCCGGAACAGCTTCATTTTTTTT